TGGGAGGAGCCATGCACTTTTAGAAAAGTCTAATACTCAGATGTGACTACAGCTGAAAGACAACACTGCTCGAATGATGACTTGGCCAAAGTTTGAGCAGTGCGAGGCCCCCTCAGCTCTACTGACACAGAGCACAACAGCAGCTGCTTTCTATTGCAGCCAGTCGTGTGCATGAGTCCTAGGCTGACACCAATTAATCGATTATGAGAATAGTTGTCAACTATTCTCATTATGGATTAGTTGGTTGGATCCCTTATCTCCTCCATGCTGGGAGGAGGGAGGGCACACCAAGCAGTGGACAGGTGCAATAGCCAGCCTGCTATTGCAATTTGAAATGGCCAATAGCAGGCTGGCTATTGCAGCTGCCCACTACCTGCTATATTTCCATTCAGCTGCCGTCTGTGGAATCTTGCCGCTGAAGCTATTCAAGCGCCATGTGCTTACAATACAATTATTAAAAGTGGGGAAAAAAAACATTTTTGGTCTCGGCCTGACAAAGTCTGGTGCAGGAGGTGCGTTGCAGTGCCATTCATTTCAATGGTACCCCAAAGCATGCCTCCCACCTACAGTGTGATCACCCGCACTGGAACGCACGGTACCACAATAACGTACATTCCAGTGCAGTGCGATTGTAAAACGTGCATGCGTTTTTATTCTGAAGTAAACTTTAACACGACATTTGTGTATTTTATTTTAAATTAAGGATGGGATTTATTTGTTTTTATCCAATTAATTGAAAAAAGAATCCGCCAACTAATCAATTATGAAAATAATCATTAGCTGCAGCCCTAATGAGTCCTAAAGCTTTCACTTTGTTTTAATAAATAATGATACCTGCCTGGAGTTCAGCTCTAAACTGGCCATAGACAGGCAGATATCTGCCAGTCTGTGCCCAAGCCTAGGTGAACCCTAGGACCTGCCCATAAAAGACGATGGTGCATGTTTGGTATAAATAGCCTTTTATCCTTCCCTCTTCTTTATTACAAGGTAATAGATTAGACCTGCAGGGAGATTTTCAATCAAATTAGAATGTCATAAAAAATTAGAATCTAATGCCATAGTGGGTGTCTTCGGCTGCTTAAAACACGTATCACCCCCTTGGGCATCAGAAATTGCCTGATATTGCAGTTCTTGAAATTGACAAAATGTCTTGTTTTCAGTAAAACAGCTATAGACAACCTTAGCATAAAATGAACGTTAACTACAACATACCCACACACGGTCATCAGAGTCAATCCAGGAATAAGGTAAGGAGAAATGGGGTAGATAGTATGTGACATGCAGCAAGTGAGGTATAGAAGTGCATGTGCAGACAGGGCCAGAACCTTTATAACATTCCCTAATGATTAGGGTCTGTGCATGCAAATCAGAGAAGGCTTTTGAGTCACCTCCCAGCCATATACAGGCAATAAACAATACAAAAAGCAAAACAAGATAATCTTAAAAAGTAATCACATGCTTCAAGGTTCCATCCACAAAAACATCAGCGAAAGCAAGATATTCTTACATCAGCCCGGAGCCCGGTGACTTTTTTCTGAGAGACTCCCATGGTGGAAGAAACCACTGAGAAAAGAAACCCTTTAGTATCTACCCAAAACTGAAATAACACTTTTGGGTGGGCTGATCTTTAAAAAGGAGACCACAATCCATTGGCTGTAAATGTTAAAAGCTGAAATCCGAGCACACAAACTTTCATTTCAATATCTTCCTCAATAGCCACAAAGGACATATATCCACTTTGTGTGCACCAAATGCCTTTACAACCCCAGTTATGTCCTTGTAAAGGTAGCAGTGTCATCATCACATGTGCTACACAGTGGGAGGGGCCCACCGACTACAGGCTATCTGCAGAAACTACAGGGGGCGGAGACAAGACCAGTCGACCTACACAAAGAGAGCAGCAGTGACCGGTTTTTATTACAGGAAGTTCCAAGTTTCACAATGGCATACTGCACAGATCTGGAAGAAATACACAAAGCTCACCGAGATTCAAGTAAAAATACACAACTCCTGTATTTAGATGATGTGTCATTCCCGGAGTAAAGCTTTAAAAGTCTTTTTATTTGTAACCGAGTCTTCAGGATTGTATAGCAGTGGGGCAAATCCACTGGACACAATTCTCTCAACTGAAACACAAGTTGATTTGTGATCATGCTGGTGTGTTTGTTTAGCTCAGTATCAGATAAAGTAAACTCTCTGTTATCCGGTATTCTACTAACCAGAACAAATATATCCTGTGTACTCACTGTTCTGTGGGCTGTATTATCCTGGAAACAATCGTGTGTCTATTTGTCTTAATTTGCTTTTGATTACAGCATTTCAATATTAATATGAAGTCAATACAGAGTTTATGATATGGTATAGTACGGGGAATGGCATTAGTTAGACCTACTTTTAATAGTAACTCTCAAGCAAATGGAAACCATATTTATCCGGAATCTACCAATCCCTGTGGATGCCGGATAACGGGGAGTTTACTGTATATCAAAAGAATTGCCATTTGAATAACCTCACTAGCTGTTTCTACCCCCTGAATAAAAGTGAGAAAAAGCTCAATTCATGAAGCCAATACACAAAGATAACAATCCTTATTATCAAAAAAGTGTGTTATTTTCAGCTGACCCCAATGACATTCGAGCATTACAGTCACACGGCTAAAATAAAGATTCTTATCCTTGTGTTAAAGGTTTGTGAAGTGAGCCTGAAGTCAGGATTGTATGATATGCTTAAGTGTTATAGGAGGTTGGAAGGCAGTTCCCACCTGATGAATATAAAACCTATGTATGAACATACACAAGGGGTACACGTAAAGTGTTGTCTTTGGATAGTTTCAGCTTCTCAGGCTATTTAAACTAAACTAATAATTAAAAAAATATATTCAGAGCCTATATAACTTCGTGAAGTCCTGAATGATTCACATTTCACACATTTTCTAGTTTGCCTTAAAGTGACACTAAACTCAAGAGTTAAACCTTAAAAATGCATTCAAGTACCTTCAGTCAGGATATACCGATATCGGTGCCGATACCAAGTATTTGCTCCGATGCCTAGCCCGATACTTCCGGTATCAGGAAATCAGCAGCGAGTCCTTACACGCGTTCCGGCTTCCTGATTGGCCGGTAAGCCAGCTCCATCGTCACCTGTAATGACGCGTTGCCGGGCTTCCTGATTGATGTGCAACACATCATTACATGGCGCCTGGCTTCCTGCTTGGCCAGAAAGTCGACTCCATGCTCCCTCGTCACCTTGATGGAGACGGCTTCCTTGCCAATCGGGAAGCCGGGTGGCGAGTCATTACACGCCACCTGGCTTTTTTAATGGGATTCCCGGTACCAGTATACGGTATCGGCGATTGCTGAAAAAAAATATCAGTACTCGATACCGAAAAACCAGTATCGGTGCATCCTTAACCATTAACAAAAAAATGTATCTTATTTGTGTATCACGCGTCTGTAGATCCTCAAATCATCTCTGAATTGGTGCTGACACTGTCCTTCCTTCTGGAGGGTGGCTACTTTTGTTTCCCATGGCCCCTGTGCGTGTTGTAAAGTAGTCACAGCTCCAAGCTCACTTGCGTGATGGACTACAATCTCATATTTAGTTTACTAATTTGGATTGAGAATGTAGTCCATCACAGGAGCGAGCTTCGAGTGGTGGCTACTTTACAACACACACAGGGACCATGGGGAACAGGAGTTGTCACCCTCCAGAAGGAAGGCCAGTGTCAGCACCAATTCAATGATTTGAGGATCTACAGCCGAGTGACACACAAATAAGATATTGTTGTTAATAGTTAGGGTATTTGAATGCATTTATAAGGTTTAACTCCTGAGTTTAGTGTCACTTTAATGACCAGGTAGTCCCCATTCACACCCAAGTGTTTTGTTGCGTGTTTCCCAAAGCAAACAACGTGAAGAACCCTGGTAATGGTGTCCGTTGATACCGGGCCCTTGTGTTGCTTGGGTACATAAGCCTTTTCAAGCAGAATCATGTTTTTTGGCCCTATAGATTTCAAGGGAGCGCCTGAAAAATTTGCATAATGTGCATTTTTTTTTTGTACTTCTAGTAACTAGCTTTCCAATGGCTACAACAAAACTGCCACACAAAAAATGCCAGAAAATACATATTAAAAAAAAAAAAGCTTCACAATCGCCTGCAAACGCTCACGTGTGAATGGGTGCTTATCCTGTAAAGAGGCGGAACTTGCTTTATATAGTACGTATGTCTAGTGCAGTGGACATGTCTGGTGCTTATAGATATGCAATTAGGGCTGCAACAACTAATCGACATAATCGATTATAATCGATTATTGAAAAAGTTGTCAACTTTTTCAATAATCGATTAATCGTCTTCCGATCAGTTGAAACAGCATCAAAAGCTCTGCTTAGAATGACATGAAACACAGCAGGCACCAGTTACTAAAAATGCTTGTGAGATGTTTGTGTGCGACGTGGATGGACTGATGGAAAATCATTAGAAAGGGTATTGATATAGAACCAGGAGGAAAAGAATGACACCTACCTAGTGCATTCTTATGATTACAGGGCCTGTCACCGCCGTACAGTGAGGGCAGTTATGCCGTAGACTTGCTACTAGCCTATCACTTTACTTGGATGCCTATGACCCACCATATAGGTATAGATGGGTGTCCAGCAGTCACCAGTACTTACACCGTTGCCCATTCATGTATTCTATTCCAGCGATATCCGTAAAGTGACAGGTCGTCTTCTCAGGATGGTTACTGCCTAAGCTGCGTGAGATTGACAGGTACACATAGGCCAACATGAATATTTCATGTATGTACAGACCAAGTTGAGTAGCAGCTTATGAACAAAAAAAAACAGTGTCAAACAAAGGGGGGTAAAAAAAAAAAAATGACAAGAGGCAGGCAGCATATTCGGCTACTTCAGTCGCCACAAGTTAAAGGATCACGTTCTGGCTCATTCACAGAATGACTCTCCTGCCAGACTTCGGTCTGCAGGTCCTAGCAGAGTTCTGCAGGTCCTAGCAGTGTTCTGCGCCATGTGCTTAGTAGAAACGCTTCCGACTTCTTTCCTGCCACTTGCTGTACACAATGAGCAAGATGACACCGGCGAAGACCAGACCGAGCAGAGAAAAAAAGACGATGAGGAAGATGGCAAAACCGCTCATGCCCTCCGAGGAATCATCAACTGGAATGGATGAGAGGAAGACGGACGGATCGTTATAATAAATCACACACTAAAATATGGCAAAGCAAGAAAGTGGATTTTTCAGTCACCTCCTGGCAGCTTCATGTTGTCCACGCTGGGGATGAAAACTTCTTTGTCCATCTTCTCCTCTGCAGGGCTACGCTCCACGGTGATCTGGTACAATTTCAGAGATATGACGTCGTGGTTGTCTATGGAAAAAATATAAATATGAGAGGCAGCAGGACACTATGGTTTACAGGGGACATGAGGTGACTCTACTGAACTGTTTATAAATGAACGATCTGGGTTGGTCATCCAGATTGTAGTGTCCCACCAATACATTTTTTTTTTGCTGCTGCTGCCGCCATTACCTTACATTGCACCAATGTTATTGTTGTTCTTATTAGTTGTGTGCTACAGCAACTTATGTTCATTTAAGCTCTCACGGGCAGGGCCCTCTACCATCTTGTCTTGATTTGTATTGTAAATATAATGTCCTCCTTATATTGTAAAGCACACGTTGGCGCTATATAAATCCTGTATAATAATAATAATAATTTGGTATCTCCCACTGTTCTCCCCTCCTGTTTAGAGCTAGTTAGTTTAGTCTTCGGATTGTCCCTCCCTTCTCCATGTCTTCTCAATATAATTATGCTAGTCATCATAGCAGACACTAGGCTGGGAAGATCATTGTCTTCTTACACTTCAAAAGGACTGGAATAACGTCCTCCTGTACTGTGAGAAGTAAAACTACATTGGATTCAACTTCTGTGGCTTACTGGAGAGTTAAGCTGTGTGTGGCTTGTTTAGAATCAGCAAGTAACAATACCGTCTGGACAGATCAAAATCTATGGAGGTATGTCAATGCATACAGCAGCATTTGAAACAGAACACTGATCCTGACTTCAATAACTAGTGAGCCACTGACCTTCAACAGGAATACAGTCGAAAGTATGAACTTGTGCCCTGCATACTAATTCAATGATTCCCTAGGATATAACGAGGAGATGATAGCCCTGGAGCCTAAACTTTTAAATGTTAGCAAGGGCAGCTCCTAAATTTCTATTTAAGCCACTGTGTTCAATTTGTACCACCATCAGTACCATTTATGCTCTCCCTATATATGTCTGTGTCACATTACATCCCAAAGATACGCAGATAACTGAATGCGTACATAAACACTAGCAATTGTTCTTAGTTGGTCCTTTTGGTCTGTTTAACATTGTTGGTTATATGTTTAGATGAATGAGTATTGAGGAATACTGAATTAAGTTTTACTTGCTTAGAAGAGTATTATATGTGAATACAGAATTATACAGCATAGAGAGATCATCCTGTGTATCATAGATAAGCATGCATATATAAACTAACTTTGCAATACAGCGCCATCTACAGCTCAAAAGACATCATTACAGTATATGCTGTTGCTTTTCCAGCAAATATATCATTAAATGTGTTGTTATTCTACTGGCATACTAGAAAAGATGTCCCCCTTATGGGTTTTACTAGAAGCAGAGATCTGCGCCCCTATACAGTTTACCAACCACCCTTGGTTACCATCCACGCTTCATAATTCTGCCACATGCCTTATCGCTAGGCATACCTTGAGACTGTTGGACTGCTTAACCACCTCCCGTGCAGCGGCCGTACCTAAACGGCCAGACAAGGAGCCTTGTAGATGCCGGAGGGTGTTTTTAAGACATCTAAAATGCAAACAGCCAGCGATGGCTGTTTAAATGCAAGCATTTCGGTATCTGTAGAGGCGCCCGATCACTTGTATCCTGTGCGGGTGTGCGGCAACCGCTGGTCCCGAGATCCGATGTGCCCTGCACGGGCCGGGAACACCACGGTGGCACTGTCATCGGAGATCAGTACACAATCTCCCTCCGCTCTCCGAATGCAGGAAGAAGTGATGCATATTACATTACTTCCGCATTCAGCTGTCATTCCCTGCTACAGAAGCTGCGGAGAAGCTGGTGAAGCAGATCTCTGCTTCATCAGCTTCTTTGGGGGTCCCCAGGTGACATTAGGGGTCTTAGAAAACCCCTGATGTCTCCATAACAGAGGACCAGTCGCGTAAATTGGCTATCACATGGGGGGCTAAGAAGTCCCCTATGTGATAGCAATAAAGTGTAAAAAATAAAATGTAAAAAAAAAACAACCCACAAAAACAATTTATAGGTCTCCCGCCCCCCCATATAGGCACACCCAACGCATGTTTTTGTGTATATGTGCAAAAATGACAATTGTGCCGCACATGCTACAGATCACAGTGAACGTCGGAGTGAGAGCAATAATTCTAGGGCCATTAATTACTGATGACACTAAACTGGTGAGCGGTAAATGCTTTTAAAGTGTTGCCTATGGCCAATTTTGGGTATGGTAGTTTTTGCAATTTTGCGGGTACGCAGAATTTTAAGGCTTGACATGTTTGGTGTCTTTTTACTCGACGTGACCCCGACTTTTATATTTTACCAAAAAATTGGGTTGATAAATGTTTTATAACAGGAAAATATTCAGTACTTTTTTTTGTTACGTGGAAAAAATAAAAAAACCCCAGTGGTGATTATATACCACCAAAAAGAAAGCTCCATCTGTCCCAAAAAAAATGGTAAAAAATTGATCTCAGTACAGCTTGCATGACAGAACAAACATCAAAGTACTGCAGCGTTGAAAACTGAAAAATGGCCTGGGCAGGAAGGGGGTTTAACATCCCGGTCAGCAAGTGGTTAAAATGCTCTCAGAAATGTGTTTCTCTGCATGTCCCTCTTCTGTCTATTCAAGGGAATCCTCTATTCCTTCCAGGATATGATAGTCCCCTGCCTTTCTCCTGTCCCTGCCCCCTCCCTTTCCCCATTCCTATTCATTTCTTACACCCTCTTTATTTCATTTCCTGACTCTTCTATTCCCTCTTTTCTTTCTATTCTAAGGTAATCTTCGGGGGAATCGGAGATCCCTATTTTTCCGTCCTACTGACCTGGGGCTTTTCGTTTTGCTGTCTCCGGGTTCCTGTACGTAAAACCTTTCTTGTTATTGATATTTGCATATTGTTTGTACAACTATGAAACTTTTTTAATAAAAATGATTGAACGAAAAAAAATAAAGTGTTATATGTTTGATAATTGCAAAAAAAAAAAAACCCTTGGTCCTGCCAGAAACGATGTGAATTGATAACAGTGGCAAAGAGCACAGGAAGTTGACTATTACCAGTTATATTATTCACAGTTCTCTCTGAGAACTACATAACATCTATGCCTTTGTTACAGAGACAAGAAAAGAGGGAGGTGTTCTGTAATTCTAACATATTTCCTGTCCTAGGGTGACAACACTTCTCCTCCATAATTCTTTGTACAATCAGCCGCACAAAAACCAGTATCCATAAAAATCCAGCTTTATTGTAGAAGTTTCCAGATAAAATCCAAAACATAATACAGCAAATACATCACCATAGTATCCCTCCCACACCAGCGCCTCCCACGCGTTTCACCACCTGGGCTTAAAGGAGACGTACCTGGATTTTCATGGATACCGGATTTTGTGCGTCTGATTGTACAAAGAACTGTTAAAAGGAGTGTGAGCACACTGTAGCCTGCACCCGGTATATACATTAAAATCGACAGTCGGAGGTGGAATTGGAGCGGTGAGTTCTTGGTGCTTTTTTGGATAGAATTTATGCTTCTCCATAGCTAGTATTGTGAGCGAGAGTTGCCATCCTAGGACAGGCAGGATCACCAGGTGAAAAGAGTCGGAACAATGAAAAAAAATGGAGCCACCACGTCAGGTTTAATAAGCTGCAATATATTAACATTTTATTGGGTTTAACCACTTGCTGTCTGGAGCATTTTCTTACAATTTGCACACACGATGAAATATAACTTTTTGGCTAGATAACAGCTTTAAACCCCCAGACAATTATATATTTTCTGGAAGCAGAGGCCCTGTAGATTAAAAAAAAGCTAGTTGCAATTTTATGTCGCACGGTTTTTGCGCAAATATTTATCACACAAGTATTTTTAGAAAAAAAAAAATGTAGTGCACAGAAACCTAATATAATACCCAATTTTTTGGTCAAATATAAAAGACGGGGTCATGCCGGGAAAATAGATACTAAACATGTCAAGCCTTAAAAAATTGCATTCGCCCGTGAAGCAGCAAAAAATATCCCAAATTTCCCATAAGGAACACTTTAAACGACTTAACCACTCATCAGTTTAGTGCTAACAGTGATTAATGGCTCTAGAATTATTGCTCTCACTACGACATTTGCAACGATATGTAACATGTGTAGCGCAATTGTTTTCACACGTAGGTGCACTGATACGTGTTTGGTGTGGGGGTGGGGGGACTTAAAAAAATTGCATTTTTATTTTTCTTATATTTGTTACTTTATTTTTTATAATTTTTAAACACTTTTCTTTTTACACTAACCCTATTGCCATCACATAGAGGGCTAACAAGCACCCTAGGTAAAAGCAGATAGGTGACAGAGGACTTGTCACACCCTAGGGACCCCAAAGAAGCTGATATCTGCTACCCCAGCTTCTTCTCCTGGCTCTAAGAGCCAGAGACTGTAACTAGTGACACCGGAAGTGATGTAATACACATCACTTCTGCGTCTAGTGATCGTAGGAGAGATCAGCGGCTGGAAGAGACATCAGCGGGGAGGGCACCTCATGGTACAAACAATCCGGCGGCTGTATAGACGCCGGATCGCTTGTACATTAACAGCAATCGGGTGCTCTTAAAAACGATACCAAGAACACGGCTGCTGCAGCAGCCGTGTTCTTGTTTTAACCACTTCTGCGGGCCACCATCTATAGATGTATTGCGGCCCGGAAGTGGTTAAACACATTTTAAAATCTGTGCTGGTATGTATCTGTACAAGTGCTCTGATATTCTCAAACTGCTCTATCGGGGCTTGAAACGGATGCAGTTAATACAGCTTAGTAAAGAAAATGAAGGATTCTGACTATGTAGCGGATCCACTATTACCTGAACCAACAAGGATTATGTTCAGGTATCAACAGAATTTATAATTATTTTGGCTGAAAAAAAGTAGCCGTTGCTTGCTATGAATAAAACATTACTACTCCAAGCTCCTTCGTGTGACCTAAATATCAAGACAGCCTGGATCTCATTAACGTTTAATGTTTTATTTAAAAGGCTCACAGTGAGAAAAGAAGATCAATAAAAGCACAAACGCTGTGAGGACTGCTAAGCCGGGTGCGTATACTACATTTAATGAGCAAATATGGCTGCCCCAATGTACATATATAATTACAAATAATACATTTAGAGGCAGTTTAAACAAAAATGATTGTTCTTGAAGACTTTCTTGAAATAGGAACAATAAACTCTGAACGTTATATTGAAACTCTTACCGCATTAAAAAGAAGAATGAAATGGATTGGAATAAGAGATGAAACACTTCTTCAAAACGAGACAACACCAGGCCTCACAAAAGTGTAGCAACAAGAGATGCAGTTCAATGCCTGGACTTTTCAGTGTTGCCGCATCCACCGTATGGTCCAGACCTGACTCGTACAGGGTTATTCACAAAAGGGTGAAGAGTTTGGAGAAGGCGGGAGAAGTGAACAATCTAGGACAACATAGCTGATTAGGAACAAATTCTCCAATACCGCTCACTTTCCAGTTCAGCTATGTTGTCCTAGATGTTCACTTCTCCAAACTCTTCAACATTTAGTGAATAGATCTGCTAGTGATTGCCACCTGTTCCCAAAACTAAAAAGGAACACTTGAAGGGCCAGCATTTCATCTATATTGAAAAGGTGAAGTCTGCAGTGAGGAAATGGTTTTTAAAAAACACCGATTTTTTTTTTTAAGGACGTATTTCAAAAACTAGTGCAGCGTTGGCGGAAGTGTATTGAAGTGTGTGGTGATTTTGTAGTAAAATTATTATGCAGCTTTGAAATTAAATGTAGGTATATTTTTATTTTATTTTTTATTTCATCAAAATATCTTTTCCAGTAAATTTTCTATTTGTGGAGGCAAAATGTATCAGTCTAGATGCCCGGGCCAAATTTAGCAGCACAAGTATGCACTGGTCCATCCCAATCCTGATAAAAGGGACGGTTAAAAATGTTAACTGTAAAAAAAAAACAAAAAAACATACCTTTCCATACAGATAAAAATCATTAAGCAACTTTCTAAGTTCCTCTTCTGTCCTGAGCTACCATCTTCACAAAAGGGCATCTGCACATGTACACCCTGTGTTGGAGCCCGGAACATGTTTATACTTTGCTAATACCATGACAATGTATTCGAGAACTATGGGGTCAGTGCTTTTCCCCATAGTTCTCCTGAGGGTAACGGGAGGACACAAACTAGCGTCCTCCCGTCACCCAAAGCTCAGTATACCGCGAGCTACAGCTCGCGGTTTACTGAGACGCCGGAACGTATCCCGACAATGCTGTCTGGAGCCAACCTATCTAGAGGCAGAGCCAGCTGTACCCGCCCCCTCCCGTTCCGCCAGTCAGCGCTGGAGGATCGGACAGGGGAGGAATCCCTGCAGGGAGCTGTGACAGCCACAGCTCTCCGCACAGATAGATCGAGAAGTGAGCGAGCGACGGTATGTGTTCGCTCACTTCCCGATCTACTGAGCCGACCTGTGACAGTCTCATTGTCACAGGTCGGCTCAGATTATGAGGCTGAGTGAAAATCTCCTTTAACAATATGATTCCCCAGCTAGAGCGCTAGGTTCTCATGTGCCAATTTGGCAGTGTATACACTCCCAGCACTCCGAGTTTCCAGAACACTTCTGGAATATATGATGTTCCTAACCAAAAGAAAAAAAATGTTTACAAAATCCATCTCCGTTTTTATTATAGGCTGCAAAATGCACAAAAAAAGTTTAACATTTCCCATTTTTTATTTTAATAATGTAACTATCTGACAATCACATTAATAAATGGCCTGTAGATACCACTGCAGCCTGGAGTTGGCAATGTTTATCAGACTGAACACTTATGTTGTCATTAAAGCCTCCAGCCTCTGTGTGATCACTTTGTCATAGTTAACATAGCGATTCTGTGATCGAAAACCACTAGGATTGTCACTAGCAGCCAGAATTGAGAGCCAGCAGCCGTGCAAAACATGGGCTACTGGTACTCAAATGGGGTACTGGTACTCAAAAGGGTACATTTATTAACATATTCCCAGCCTAGGGCATCATGCTGAAGAGAGTCAATAAACAGGTTGCAGGGGGGGTTCCAGAAAAAAGCATACAAACAGTACCTGAAAGATCCCCGGTAACTGCAGAAGAGCCAAAGTAATATCCACGGGGCAAACGCACGCCGGGTACGTCCAAGCAATCTCGCCATTCTTGTTTTCCATCAATATCTAACATGACCTGCAAGCGAGGTGCACAATGGAGAGTGGAGGGACTTAGTGAAATGAAGGAAGCAGGTAATGAGAAAGAATATCAAGAATTTAGAAAGGCTGCATGTACTGCACTGTCATATCTAAAGAGAAGCCAAGCACAATGCATTCCTTAGAACAGGAACCTCACCAAAATATACATATATAGCAGCCGTTATCCGAAATGACCACAAAATATACAGAGACAGCACCTTTTATCTGAGATTCTTCCTGAGACTTTAGGTGTTATAGGTAGGACACCTTTCCATTATTAGAGCACTTAGTTCAATGTATTCTAAAACAAAGTTAATAAAAATGACACCTATCTTCCTAATATAAGCTCCCCAAAAATGACACCTATCTTCCTCATATAAGCCCCCAAAACCAACAAGACCTTCCATTACCCAACTGTAGCCTGTGTATACTGCAGCAGTTCTACTTTTAAAGAGCCTGCTGTTTAATAGCTTGCTAGACCTTGATCACTTATTAAAGGGTGAATCCTCCTAAATGTTATACTTCAGTTTTTTTGTAGGATACTAGAAAGTCAAAGGCTAAGTTTACCTTTTGGACCACGTTTTATGTTACACCCATTCGGGGTGAAACACGGTCATATCGCAGAGCCGGTCAAAGGATCTGATAATGGAGATCCTTCAGCCACCGTGGCAGAGAGATGTGTAGCTCTGAATGGAGTACATCACCAAGCTTGTAGTCCATTCATTCTTCCTCCCGTTCATGTTACTGAATGCCTGTACTGAGGTATGGATGGGAGGAAGAACCTGCAGGAGTCAGATCATTGTACCCACAATCCACCAATCGTGGTTGCACTGTTTTTCCGGCTCCAATGCAAAAAAATGATTATAGATATCTATAATTAATAATAATAAATGCACATTTTTTTCTATTATAAAGAAGTATGCATTTATTTTTATTTATTTTTTTAAATGCAGACTTTACCTTTAAATCCCCCAATAATTTTTTTTTAAATAGTGATACATCAGCTGTACCCATTATGGGTTTTCACTCCCCTTTCCGATCAAGTATATGTCATAGGGAATGTAAAAAGGCAGGCTGGAAGATGCAAAGGAGGGCAAGAACATCCAAAACTATCAGGTAGAGCAGAACTATACCTAAAACATCAGTTTGGTGAACTGACTCTGTATTCATGACATGAGCTCTACAACAGGGAAGTATCATACAGAATACAGAAAAAGGTTGTGTTTTCTAATATTAATTCTTGTTCCAAGAGGACTAAAATGCTGAGGGCATCTGTAGTAGAACAGGGCAACACCTGAAAAGTACAAAGTACCCAAGCCACAAGAGGTCTCCCCATTACCTCCATTGTACCCTCATTCCTGACTGCACTATGGCTATAAAGAGCAGATTTTACAATGAGGTGGACAGGGGTTAAAAAGGACAGGTGGACAGGAAGGGGAGGGAAAGAAAGCAAGACAAGTAAGATAAGAAACCAGTGGCACGGAACAATAAAACAAGGAAAGAAAAAAAAACGTGAAAAGTTTTACCGTGAGTCTGCGCTTGACGTAGCGGATGACCAGGAAAGTGTCGTGGTTGAGATTCCGCACCATGGCCGTGCAACCCCCGAGTTCAGTAGGACGGCCATCTCTGCTGTGATCGTATGTCAGTGACCCATTGCTCACCATTGCCGAAACATAGGGAAACACACGCTGGCAAGAGACAAGATCATATATAATATATGTGTCACAAAGAAATGTTCATACATTACCTATTATAAGAAAGAAATGGTTCTTGAGGGAATCCCTTCCAATACTTTACTCATCATCAATGACTACATATGAACTCCTTTGCTCTGAATGATACAGACATTTCTGTACTGCAGACAAGAATAATAGGCACCAGATGGAGCAAATGGATGCAGTTATGCAAAATATAAATTTTCTATGATGCAAACGAGGGGCTGGCGAGATTATATTCCCAAGATGCATCTGGACAGCTGAAGGCTCGTGGAGTCTTTGTGACCAGGACCAGCCAGGGATGTGATTTATAAATCAGGATTTTATTGCATTTTCGATTATGTTGTAAGGCCTCCCATGTAACTGCATTGCTTACCTTCATACTTTATGTTCGCTTTATGCAAATCAGACAATTCCAGACACAAAGTATGCAAATAATACAATCCAGTGAAAAAACAAAAAAAAAACCCTATATGCAGAGCTGTACAAAAGACACTAAAGTGTCTCTGCACTTATGCATGCCAGATGGAATTTCTGCTTTTTTTCTTTTTTTTTTAAGCCCCGAACACCCAAAAACCAAAAAAGAAAAACCTTACTTTGGCTGATGCCACCAAACCTTCCTGCAAAGCTGGGAACTCGAAATCCGGCAAGAATGCACTGCAGCCCATTGCAAGAGTACATTCTCATGGGACTTTGAAAGCCCAGCTATCCCAGGAGGCAGCGATCAGTTTGTTAACAAATGACTCTGTGACAAAGCCCATCATTGTGTGAAACATGTCAGATCCATGGCTGGGATGATGTGTACTTGTGTGCAACATATAAACTTAGCTTCCTGTGAGTAACTGCTGATGGTGGAGCAAGACGGGCTTGGCCACTGTGCACCCACCATTCTCTCTAGTCCTGCTGTGAAGGAGCGGTGATATTGGGCTATGGAAGTTAGTTGGCTTTTTAAAGCCATTTGTGTTGTGGGGAGAGCAAGGGGGTCCAACACGTTCAACAAAATCAATTGTTAGACTCTTAGCCGGGTTAATTAAACATAAGGCAGCAGAAAGCATATTTTCCATATATTACTGCAACACACCATAAGACAAAGCGCAGTGCTGTACAACGCCATTCAGTTTTTTTCTTTTGAATGGTGCCACAATTTAACTTGTGTTGTGGTCTGCTGGAAAAAAAAAAGAAAATGGTGCAGATGCATTAAAAGTCTGTTGTGGTGCATTGGCAGCCCATTCATACCAAGTAGGCCTTAACGCAACACAGGTTACCGTATTCGGTAATGCACCACAAAAGGTCTGCACTAGGGATGTCCCGATAACGATACTAGTATCGGTATTGGGGCCGATACCAGGCATTTTCACGAGTACTTGTACATGTGAAAATGCCCCAATTCTTAAAGGCCAATACCAGCCCTTTAAATTTTCAAATTGCAGTGCCGTCCGAGTTCCTGCGCTTGTAGGGACCTCGGCAGCCTGCTGGGGATCTGCACGTAGCTGTCGATGGCAGTGCCTGTCCGGTTGTATATGTCCTCCTCCTCCTTCCTGGCGCAGACACAGTCATGGACAGCCCCCCACACACAGCACAGCCCCGGACATTGGCACACTCCACAGCATAGGAACTGCCCGCAGAGAGTGACATGACGCCCGGGAGAGATCAGCACGCAGCCTGGTGAGAATAATTCTGCTGCGGTGACATCTTTATTTAGCTCTGGTGAGAAACTGCCCTAAAATCATTAGTCTGTGTTGTTTTAGAAAAAATGCCACATGTCTCTTTTAGAAAAAAGATCGGTAATTGGTATCGGCAAGTACCTAAGGGGAAGTACTTGTGGTCTTAAAGTGGCATCGGGACATCCTTAGTCTGCACTCAGCCTAACATAAAATCATTCACGTCGGTTGCTGTCACAACCCAGTGACATTACGGGACACCCACGTCTGCATATGGAATTGTGTAACAAATAACCGTGTGACAATATTTGCAGGGAAAGGTAAGGTACTTATCACAAGTCCCAGGAAGGACCATGTGCTAAGCCACATAACCCTCAACTATTATCTTACGACAATCACGGGTGATCGCGGTACGATAATCGGCAGGTGTATTAGCAGCGTGCGACCGCTTCTACTGTACGGTCGTACAGCTTTCGTCTTCCGAGCACGCTGGAAAACCTGCCGAAAATCGTACGATTTTTGGCGGGTTGGTGGCGTGGTCGGAAGACGACTGCCGCAACGATCCTGCTCACATTCTTACATTCTTTCTTTCAGCCCTAGCTCAGATCTGTCAGAGCTCCGGCCAAAGGAAGCCAGAGCTGACAGGAGCTGCTCTGCAGTCTGCATCCGACACAGATGCAGACCGTGGAGCTTCTCCCGCAAGTTAGGTACGCGGTCTGCGACGGTGTACCCGACATATCAGCTGGCTGTGGGCAACATAGTACCGGCTCGCGGGCCGGAGTTGGGCCACGGACGGGTACTTGGAGACTCAAATTTCCACTCGCCCTCACCTTATTTTTACTCGCCAAATGCGATCAGGTGAGTGGAAATTTTGAGCCCTGATCTATACTACTTTTTTTTTTTTTTTTTAAAGAGAAGCTCCAAATGTTTAAAAGTTGATCAGTGCCAGTGGGGCCTACCCCGCACTGCAAGGGTTAAATGCTCATTTTGGTCTACAGGTGAAAATGAAGAAAATACTCCTCACCTGATCCTCAGTCTAGTGGCAGCGACCGCTTACCTCTCTCCCCCGAGCTCCGGCTGTTGTATGTCCCTTGGCATCCTCACGTGTATTAGGCGTGATAACATCACAGTAACTAAGAATGCCGGAGCCCGGGGGAGGATTGGTCTAGCCGCCAGGCTGGACTGAGGATTGGTTGGGTATTTCTTCTTTTTTTGCTCCCTAGACAAAACGAGCAGTAAAAGGAGAACTATGGGGTGAGTGCTTTTCACTCACCTCATAGTTCTAGCCGACGTGTGACAATGAGACTGTCACAGGTCGGCTCAGTAGATCGGGAGGTGAGCTAACACATACCGGCATTCGCTCACCTCTCGATCCTGTCACAGCTCTCTGCCGTGACAGGGGAGGGGCTGGATTCCCCGCTCCGATCCGCCAGCGCTGATTGGTGGATCGGACGGGGGAGGGGGTGGGTACAGTTGGCTCTGCCTCTAGATAGGCAGAGCCAGCTGTCAGTCACGTAGCTAGGCGGATCCCGGCACAATTGTCGGGATCCGCTTCAGCTGCGGCGTCTCAGTATACCGCGAGCTACAGCTCGCGGTATACTGAGCCTAGGGTGACGGGAGGGCGCTAGTTTGTGTCCTCCCGTTACCCTAAGGAGAACTATGGGGAAAAGACTTAACCCCATAGTTCTCCTTTAACCCTTGCAGTGCAGAGGGTAGCCCCATAGCAAGAGTTAAGTTTTCAACATTCTGGAGTTCCACTTAAAAAAAAGGTAGAAGAACAGAAGTGTACACAAAATAGAAATGCTGATCCCTTTTGGCATATGAAAGAGGACAGCTACATGCATTTGGTCTTACAACCTTTCCTTTATCATACACCCAGGTAAGGGTAATACAGATAACTAAAATAAGCACACTCATTATGTTATCATTGTCTGTGCTGCTACCAGCCCCTGAGAAGTGGCCGTTGGGAAACTCTGCTCTGGGGAAGGAGAGCTTCAACAACCACAGACAACTAATGACTATTATTCCTATCTAAACATATACCAACATGGAATCAAACTAAGAATGCATATTAATAGGCACAGAAGAGATACCTGATTCCCCGGAGTATACCTTTTCTTCTGAGACCGCCATCCAAATGTAGCAGAGGAGAGAGCACACAATACAAACATTGCAACTTAGTTACATATATAGAGTAGAAGCTGGATAAGCCATTATAGATAAAAGGCAGTCAGATAGTAATATGATTTCTCACTGACAATACTTAATTTTCCCTTAAACTGGCTACACACTGGGCGAATTTCGGATTGTTTGTGAACCATCTGAAATTGGCAAGGCCTTGTCTGCCGTCTTCTGTATAGAAAATCCGGAGCCACTGTATCTAATCCAGGAGCCGGCTCCATTGACAACAACTAGAGAACACCTCAAAAGTCGTATCTGTAAAAAATAAATCAAGGCAACTGGACCTGCTGTATTTTTCTTGAAGACGTTTTACTGGTCATCCAACCAGCTTTCTCAATTCAGAATGACTTGTACAAAAAATTATCTGGGACTAAATATGACGAATGTCGCTCCAATCCACATAATCTGTTAGTCACAACCAGATGTAGATTGCATTTGCATAATTGGAGTTATTAACCTGCCTCCTCCCTGTAACTGGTTTAAAAGAGGCATGAACACCTGGTTGGGACTAACAGATTATGTGGATTGGAGCGACATTCACCGTATTTATTCCCAGATACTTTTTTGTGCAAGTCATTCCGAATTGAGAAAGCTGGTCGGATTTCCAGTGAAACGTCTTCAAGAAAAATAAAGCAAGTCCAGTTGCCTTGACTTATTTTTGTTTCAGATATACCATGACCTGGATGGATGAGAACCTTCACAGGCACCTAAAAAGTTGGGTACTAGCTGTAATTTTTAAGAAGCATTGGCCACTTTGCTCCTGGGATTTGGCCAGCCCTGACCTAAGGCAGGACTTTTTATATCTCTGGGCCTCCAGCAGCCAGATCGCCCTTTTTCAACACTTACTGGCCATTACAAAGCCAAGTGCAGAAGTCTTACTAATCCTGCTGTAGTTTCTATATTGTAAACTATATACAAGAAATATCCTGCAGCAGGTTAAGGCCATTTTCTGGCCACAAATGTCTGAAGAGATGAAACATCAGACTGGAGATTTCGCCACTGGAGGCTCCACTGAGAGATGCAACAAAGCAAAAGGCAAGCTTCGAGCCTCATGAGGTACAAACTTAGTACACAGTTTCCTATTTACAAGAACTATGAAGTAGAACGGCCTACTGCATTAGATACAAATAGAATTGATTGTATAGACTGGCCCTGACACTACATAGGTAGGGGTACATGTTCAGGAGATGGTACACCTAGACCGTAACATGTGTGGCCAAAATGAATGAGAATTAACATGTATGTAATCACCAGTGTTGCTGCTCATTACTTTAATAGCAATGTGTTTGCTGTCTGCTATTAGGCAAGTGCTGCAAAGTAGGGAGATATACCGTATATACTCGAGTATAAGCCGTCCCGAATATAAGCCGAGGTACCTAATTTTAGCCAAAAAAACTGGGAAAAAGTATTGACCCGAATATAAGCCGAGGGTGGGAAATGAGGCAGCTACTGGTAGATAGATACCATTAAAATACATTAATATTTATTTAAAAGAAAAATAACCTAGCTCTGTAAGTGGAAAAGGGGGTACAGGGCTACATATCATGTACTACGGATCATTTAACCCATTCATATTAGCAGAGGATAATTGTAAATGTATTGTCTGCACTGTATTAGCAGTATATACTCTATATAGAGTATATACTGCTAATACAGTGCAGACAATACATTTACAATTATCCTCTGCTAATATGAATGGGTTAAATGATCCATAGTACAGGGCTACATACAGATCATTTAATACATTCATGTTAGTATAATTGTAAATGTATTGTCTGCACTGTATTAGCAGTATATACTCTATATAGAGTATATACTGCTAATACAGTGCAGACAATACATTTACAATTATCCTCTGCTAATATGAATGGGTTAAATGATCCATAGTACAGGGCTACATACAGATCATTTAATACATTCATGTTAGTATAATTGTAAATGTATTGTCTGCACTGTATTAGCAGTATATACTCTATATAGAGTATATACTGCTAATACAGTGCAGACAATACATTTACAATTATCCTCTGCTAATATGAATGGGTTAAATGATCCGTAGTACATGATATGTAGCCCTGTACCCCCTTTTCCACTTACAGAGCTAGGTTATTTTTCTTTTAAATAAATATTAATGTATTTTAATGGTATCTATCTACCAGTAGCTGCCTCATTTCCCACCCTCGGCTTATATTCGGGTCAATACTTTTTCCCAGTTTTTTTGGCTAAAATTAGGTACCTCGGCTTATATTCGGGACGGCTTATACTCGAGTATATACGGTATTATGCAATATAAGATGAGCCTGTTCTCCCAGTACTGGCCAAAAAAGGGATAGTTTCTTAGTTCTATGTTGTGAGGTGTGGCCTCCATGGATCGGACTTGTGTTTTCAGCACATCCCACAGATGCTCAATTGGATTGAGATCTGGAGAATTTGTTGTTGTGTTCCTCAAACCATTCGTGAACCATTTTTGCAGTGGCAGGGCGCATTATCCTGCTCAAAGAGGCCACTGCCATCAGAGAATACCGTTTCCATTAAGGGGTGTACTTGGCCAGCAACAATGTTTGGGTAAGTGGTACATGTCAAAAGTAACATCCACATAAATAGCAGGACCTAGTGGCTAGCATATCTGCCATGCACTGGGGGTCCCCGGTTCAAATCCTGGTCAGGACACTATCTGCAAGGAGTTTGCATGTTCTCCCTGTGCTTGCTTGGGTTTCCTCTCACACTCCAAAGACACTCTGGAAGGTTAATTGGCCATGTATGCATCTAAGATAGGGACCTTAGATTGTGAGCTCCTTGAGGGCAGGGACTGATGTGAATGTGCACTATGTAAAGCGCTGCATAAATTAATTTGTGGCGCTATATAGATATCAATAATAAATAGAACATTGCCCAAAGCATCATACACTGCCTCCGCCATCTTCCCATAGTGAATGTTGGTGCCCTCTTTCCCGGGTAAGTGACGCACATGCACCCGGCGATCCACATGATGTAAAAGAAACCGTAAATTATCAGACCAGGCCACCTTCTTCCATTGCTCTGTGGTCTTGTTCTGATGCCCACACGCGCCAAACTGTGATGCTCTGTGTGTTCAGACACACATTCATTTACAGTAATTTGATCTACAGTTGCTCTTCTATTGGATCAGAGTACACAGGCCAGTCTTCGATCCCCACATGCATCAATGATCCTTGGCTTCTAATGACCGTCACTGGTTCACCTTCCTTGGACCACTTTTGGTAGGTTCTGACTGCTGCAGACTGGGAACATCCCACAAGTGCTGCAGTTTTGGAGTTGCTCTGACCCAGTCATCCGGCCATCACAATTTGGCCTTTGTCCCTCAAATCCTTACACATTTGTTCTGCTTCAAACACATAATTGTCAGGGTCAAAATGTTCACTTGCTGCCTAATTTATTCCACCCAATTCCAAGTGCCATTGTAACCAGAAAATCAATGTTATTCACTTCACCTCTCAGGGGTCAGAATGTTATGGCTGATCAGTGTACATACTGTAGGCAACATCAATCACATTATATTGCTTAGGCTAACAAAAGAACGGTAGGTTTGCCACTGGCTATTGTCACTTCCATTGAGGAAATACCTTCAACAATGGAGGCAATTCCAAAAGGAACCAGATTACCCTTTCATTCTTCCAGCGAATGATAGAATAAAAGCAGGGGTGGACAAATCATCACATTTTTTTTTTTTTAGGAGTCAGTCCCATTGACAACAACTAGATAAGAAAACCTCAAACGTTAGGTGGCAGCTGTAATTTTTAAGGAGTGCTGGCAACCTGGCTCCTATGTCAATGGGACTTGTCCAACTCTGGAACATAAATATCTGACTCATTACTCTGGGCAAAACAAGCAGTTTTTCAGACTCTAAAGTCTTCTCAGTGGACTTCCTATAGTCCCCCAGAGGACAATGTGCTAGATGCATTAGTGCTTTCATTAATGCTGTGATCAACAGCAGACCCCCTTCCCCCACCGCTGTTTAGCCACCCTCCTCCGGGGCAGACGGATAAGTGTAACTGAAAGCACTTGTTTCCAGCAGCAGGCCTGCAACAGAGACCATCAGGATCACTACTTTTACAATCTTTTATACCTCAGGAGACGTCTTTAATGAATTAGGCCAAATGCCATGTAAATTAGTGCCGGACAAATCCAAGAATAAAGAAGCCAAAGTGCCCCTGAAATTACAGCTGGAACCAATTCCAAGTTTCTCTATAGAATTGAAGAACATCTGCATGCATCTGTAAAAAATAAGTCAAGGCAGCTGGACTTGCTGTATTTTTGGACTTGCTGTATTTTTGGACTTGCCGACATGTCACTGGACATCCAACCAGCTTTCTCAACTCAGAATGACTTGTACAAAACATTCTCTGGGAATAAATCTGGTGAATGTTGTTCCAAGCCACATAATATGTTAGTCACAACCAGGTGTAGATTGCATTTGCATAATTGGAGTCTAGGAGCCGTTATTAACCTGCCCAGAGAGGTGTGTTAAAGCAGCATTGTATGTGGCAGACAATAGATGTCTCACCCATCATCACCACCACCTCTATTCAAGCTTGGCTTCTCCTTCTTTACATAAATGGCATCTTTCATACCTCCTATAAACCAGTCCTCCTCCCTGTCTAGGATGTGTACTTGACCGTCTTCAAAGGAGTGACCTTTTTCCTTTAGATGTTGGTATACTGCAGAATCCTGACCAGAGGGTTTGGCTCTTCTATGCTGTGCCATACGCTGGTGCAGCTGCTGAGTTTCTCAGACACCCCAGCTACATATGGGATGACCAAATTCTTCAGTTTGTCATGCTTTTCACCCTCACTGGTACTCTTGGCATTCTTTCCTCTTTCTATAAAATACAGAAAGTCCAGTTGCCTTGACTTATTTTTTTACAGATATACCATAACCTGGATGAATGAGAACCTTCACAGACAACATCTGCATGCATCCTTAAAGTTCCTAACTGCTCTAAGATTAGATTCATAGGCTCCCAAATTGAAAAATCAGCCTGGTCACCCCCTACATGAATACACCATTAAAAGACATGAAAACATGGAGTACTTCATTGTGGGAATGGCACACTTACTTCATGTTGTTTCTCTTCGTTTGGGTAGGTGTCTACAAATATACCTAGGCCAAAGAAGTTATCTTTACTCCCAAACACAGGACCTGTAAACACAAAAAGAGGC